AAATGTCACATGGTTATCAGCACAATGTCCTGCAAATCTCATTGAGACATTTTTAAAAAATGCAAGTTTCTGTAAAGAACAGGAGAAAATTCTCTCCATATTGCAGCTTTAAATACTGGTGTTGGAGGTAATTGGGCTAAATCTCCTAGAAGAAGAACAGGTACTCCACCAAATGGAATAGATACTGATATATTAGTATTCTTCACCATTATTTAATTGTGGTGGTGATGTGTTCAGGTTTACTAGCTGTACAAGAAGTAGAAGATGATTTTATATTGGTATCATCTTTGTTTTGTTTCTGGAAAGTTTGATAAAAAGCATAGAAGTGGTAAAATTCAGAATCATTCATAGAAGAAGAGATTGATGTGGAAGGTGATGAGGTAGGGTAAAAGTTTGAGAAGTAAGAGTAGGTGGAGTAGGAGTAAAAGTAGATGATTAATAGATGCAAGTGTCATTTGATAATTAATGGGGGAAGTCAGGGAAGGAGGAGGTGGCAATTTTTAATTTCTTGAACAATGTTTTGAAAACAAGAAGTAGTATTAGATTTTAATATTGAGAAGAGTGTCTTGGTGATTGATGAAGCAGTCATATTATAGAGAATGTATATATCAAGTAGATCTAAAAGAACCATTTTATCTTCACCAATGGTAAGGAACCCAGTAATAAGAAAAGGCTGATTGCTGGTTAGTTTGCTGATGGCATTTATAAGCCTTGTATCTTCTTCTTGCACTATAATATTCACCAGTTGATCTACCTTTTGCTGGTCACACCTTGTAAACTGAACAAAATCCCCAATGTTAAAAATTGGTGGTAGTTTCTATGAGCAGTACTTGAAAAGTACTTGTATGTGATGGTTGAAAGCAGTTAGGCTCATACTGATATGCTGCCACCCCTTGAATTACTTTACTATTAATGATTTCTTTAGAGTTAATCATGACAGAGACCACAGCTGAGTTTGGCATTTTTTCGTTAATTGATTTTTCTTGTTCTTGTGTGGGTATGCACAATTTATATTATATTCTATAAATCATTATATCAAGGCAATCCCTCAGTTTCTCATTTCCACCCAGGTAATGTTGACACTGAATGGACAGTTGAATTCAAATCCTGATCACAGATCAAGCTGAAACTCATGCAAACAGCTCTTGTCTGCTCCCAACACCTTTTGATAAGCAACATATCACAAACATCTGTTAAGTATATTGGGCCAACAAATAAAATTTCAATTGACAAGAACAATGACCATAACAATAGGATGGCATAAGTGATTTCAACCATAAGGTTTTTGATCAGAAGTTATAATACAACACATAAAATAAAGTAGATGTTTCCAATAAGGTTATTGTACAAAGCTTCTCATTTGTAAACAAGAAATAAGTTGCAGTTCATGATTTAATTATGATATGCTGCCTTGTATGTTGGAGAGTTTTTGGGGCAATTTGCCATTGTTACTGTGATTGTTATAGTTGGAGTTGATAGAGAGAGAACATTATCAGGTAAATAAGTCTTACTCTGTAGAAGTGTTGAATTTAGTAATGTAATAGAGGGTTTTATTTGCATATATTAGTTTCACTGAATTTTCTCATGCTGTATCAAAGTTATTATTAATATGGTTCACAAAATATTATG